TTATGAACACACAATTCTTGGTCATATTACCAACAGATTAAACTTAATTATGAAAGTAAAATAATACATTTGGTATGAAGAATAGAGTATTTAGGTTTCTTTTATGACTCTCGTTTATTTGCTGGCAATGAGATCAAATACACAAATTATAACACTAGAGAAATAGGCGAATAAATAGTTTTTTATTTCACAAGAGAAATAGACTGCACAGCGATGAAGGACAGGACACAAGTAGAGTAGACCTCTGGGACTAGGGACTAGGGCATTCTATTTCTAAGAAAAATAAAATGGACTGTAAAGAAAGGTATGCCTTTTTGCTGATGGCTTGATTTGTAACATGGATCCCATTCAGGGCATTAGTGATGAGCAAATAAAATGATTTATGACTTAGGACATTAGGGAAATGAGTAAGAATGTGTTAACTGTAATTTACTGCTAATAGCTAAAAATAATGCACTTGGGATATCAATAAAAAAATCAGGAAATAATATTAATGGTACTCAGTATATAAAAGTCATTGCTACCTTATCTACATATGTTCTACAGAAGTAGAAATGTTTTCATGGGGTTCTTGTGCCTTAGGACCAAATCTAGCCCATATGTCCAGATTCTCTCATCACCACTTTGACACCCTCTACTGCCTAAATGAAAAAGAAATGGTTCTTCGTGGAACACTTTAATGGAGAATAAACACTGATTTTATTTATGTTAGCCATTCATAATGGAATATATAAGATAAATAAATAATTCTAATTTAATTTAATGGAACACTACCACTATTGTACCTTGTAGTTGTTATGGTGTCAGGAGTATCTCTCCACCCCCATTGTAAGTAGTCAAATCATTTTAGAATGAATAAAACAAATCAATGTGGGATAATGCAATTATCTTTGCAGGGTTTGCAACGTTGGACACTTTACTTATAGATGAAGGACTAATGGCACCTTTCCTAATTTTATTGATAGTGACTACCTCCTCATGGCGTTGTATGAGGAGGCTGGGATGTTTAGCCGAAAATGACAGTTGCCAGAAGGGCTGGGCAACCATCTAGCAATCAACTTCATATTAGTACATTTGGTGATTGATACAAATACAAGTTCCCTTAACCTTTGTGAAATATGGACAATAATGGCAAATATCAAATTGTACTGAAGAAAATTTCTAAATTTGTACCAAACTCAACAATGTATCCAGATCTGTTTCAGTAAATAGCCAAATCTGAATTTCTCATCCAGTTTGGCTAATATTTTACAATTTGGATTTTTCTGCGATGATTCTTCTTAAATTCTACCAGTTGTTCGACCTTCCATTTACAGCAAGCATGTCAAACTCACGGCCCACAATGAATATCTTTGTGGCCCAGCGAGCCGCGAGTTTAACATGCTTGCTAAGGAAGAGTAGACACCTGCTCTCCTTACATTGCAGGTGTCTACTCTGCTAAAATTTACCCGGCCGGGGGAAGAGGACGCTGGAAGCAGCGAGGGAGTACAGTCTTCCTGCTCCTCACTGCTACCTCGCGCACGCCCTCTGTAGTGATGCAGGGTTCCCAGAATATGACGTCATTCCGGCACCCGGCATCACTAAACTGCACGCGTGAGGGAGCAGTGAGGAGCAGGAAGACTCCCGAGAGAAGATCCCCACTGGATCCCAAGGAGAGGCCCAACACCAGCTCCCACAGGTAGGGAGCAATAAATAAAATGATGTGAGTGTGTGCAAGAATGTGTGTGCCTGTCAGAGTGTGTGTGTGTGTGTGTGTCTGTCAGAGAGTGCGTTTCTATCTGTCAGTGTGTGTGTGTCAGTCAGTGAGTGTGTGTGTCTGTTAGAGAGTGAGTATGTGTGACTGTCAATATGTGTGTTTCTGTCATTGAGTGTGTGTCTGTCAGTGTGTGTGTATGTGTCTGTCAGGGAGTGTGTGTTGGTCAGTGTTGCGATGGCCGTGGCTGGATAGTGGAGAACCTGGAGGTGCAGGGAGGCACGTAACGCCACGTCACATTCTGACGTAACATCAACTTGCTCCACCTTCACAGGGTTTCAAGGTGTAGTGGGAGGATCCGCTTTGGCAGAGGGTGCGGACGGCGCCTTGGGGGTATACTAGAGGCTGGACTCCGGAGTCGCATACAGGCAGTGGCATATGTGAGTGGAGTCTGCTTGTTGGCTAATATTGTTTTTTCTTTTTTTTTTCTTTTAAAAGGGCAGGGGTTCAATAAAGGGGGTGCTGGGATTTAGTACAGGGGGGGTACTGGGATTTAGTATAGAGGTTGGGACTGGGATTTAGTATAGAGGGGGGACTGGGAATTAGTATAAAGGGTGGTACTGGGATTTAGTATAGAGGGGGGACTGGGAATTAGTATAGAGGAGGGACTGGGAATTAGTATAGAGGAGGGACTGGGAATTAGTATAGAGGATGGGACTGGGAATTAGTATAGAGGATGGGACTGGGATTTAGTATAGAGGGTGGGACTGGGATTTAGTATAGAGTGGGGGACTGGGATTTAGTATAGAGTGGGGGACTGGGATTTAGTATAGAGGTGGGGACTGGGATTTAGTATAGAGGTGGGGACTGGGATTTAGTATAGAGTGGGGGACTGGGATTTAGTATAGAGGGTGGTACTGGGATTTAGTATAGAGGGGGTGACTGGGATTTAGTATAGAGGGTGGGACTGGGATTTAGTATAGGGGGGGCTGGATTTAGTAGAGGGGGTGGGGTTTAGTAGAGGGGATGCTGTTTTTTTTATATACTGTACTTTTCAAAACAAACCTGCGTTTCTATAAAAATTTAAGTTTTTTGGGGGGGTTTTGCGGCCACATAAACTTAAACCTTGTCTATGTGGCCCGTGCCAGACATTGAGTTTGACATGCTTGTATTACAGGCATTATTGTATTTTCCTGCACAGATAAAATAAAGAATTTTTTAAAATGTGGATACATTTACTAAACTATATGTGGTAGGAATAGGCCTGTGTGTGATATTATGAAAATGTGGCAATTGTCTGTTTTCTGTTTTATTGTTAAAACCTCCTAAGTTGGGTTTTGCTTCATACACAGGACATTACAAATCCAACAGTATTATAAATAATAAATAAATCCCAATAATTAAATGAAAAAGAATACTGAGGTAAAATGATAAAATATCTGCTTTTTAAACATTTATAAAAAAAAACAAAGAAACAGCACTATGCTTAAAAAATAAATACAAAAGATGTACGATTTAAAAAACAAAAACAAATTAAAAACTTTAATGAAACGAGAAAAGTGACAAGACTACACAAATGCCAGCCAGGCCATGTGCAATGTGTGTATTTATTACCAGCAGCAGTAGGAAGACTTAGCAGCATGTGATACACTGGTTGCCTGGAGACATGTGTTCTGTTTCCATGGTAACAGATAAACACAAGCTGTAGTTCCTACACATAGCTGAGCTGTAGCTGCCCCACAGCAATATTATCTGCTAAGTTTTAAACGTTACAATTCTGTGGTTTAGGTTCTGCCTTTGATGTTTTAGCATGATGGAGCTGGGGACAAGGCCAGACTGGAATTTAACAAGCACTGGGGTTGGACATGACTACAGACCTCACCAACATTTCCCTCCCTGCAAGGTTAGGGTAAGTCATTGATCAAATACTGTAATACCCAGCCATGGGAGGGGAGCCTCGTGTCTTCTGCAGGAGAACCCCCAGGCCAAAACCTAGGGGGGCGAGGGGGCTATCCACTAAAGTGTAGATTGTGGACATCGCATACCTACCAACATTGCAAATGGACAAAGAGGGACTATAATTTATACAACTAAAATTACATTTGGAATAAGAACAGTGTAACTTATTTACACAGGCACCATTCTAAACACATTTATTGTAGTTAAGTAGGAATCGACCGATATTGATTTTTAGAGAGCCGATACCCATAATCTGTGGACTTTCAGGCCGATAGCCGATAACTTGCCGATATTTTGTACATTTACCATTTTGAAAAAATAAACTATTTCTAAAAGGTAAATGCACAAAATATACATGCCATGTGTAGTGGATGCAGTGTGTTTAGACAGGGTTGCTGTGTGTGTTTGTGTAGTGGATGCAGTGTGTAGTTGTGTAGTGTATATATAATGAATGCAGGGTGTGTTTGTGTTGTGTGTATAGTGAATGCAGTGAGTGTTTGTGTAATGTGTATATATAGTGAATGCAGAGTGTGTGTGTGTTTGTGTAGTGTGTGTATAGTGAATGTAGTGTGTGTAAAGTGAATGCAATGTGTGTACTGTGCGCAAAGTGAATGCAGTTTGTGTAGTGTGTGTAAAGTGAATGCAGTGTGTTTGTGTAGTGTGTATATATAATGAATGCAGAGTGTGTGTGTGTGTTTGTGTAGTGTGTGTATAGTGAATGTAGTGTGTGTAAAGTGAATGCAGTTTGTGTAGTGTGTGTAAAGTGAATGCAGTGTGTTTGTGTAGTGTGTATATATAATGAATGCAGAGTGTGTGTGTTTGTGTAGTGTGTGTATATAATGCAGAGTGTGTGTGTGTGTGTGTGTGTGTTTCTAAAGAGATGTAATTTGTGTAAAATGGGGGGGCATTTTTTATTTTAATTTTATATTTAATATTTATATGTTTGATTTTTTTTTTGTCTCCCTCCCTGCTTGTTACCTGGCCAGGTAGGGGGGCTATGGCATTCCCTGGTGGTCCAGTGGCATGTACTGAGCAGTGGGGGCCCGCAGCAAGCTGTTACTTACTTTCCCAGCAGCTCCCTGAGTAAATCTTGCAGCCAGCGTGCCGCGTTGCCATGGTAACCCGTGGCAACGCTCTGACGGCCGCAAGACTTGCAAGATTTACACAGGGAGCGGAAGGGAGCTGCTGGGAAGGTAAGTAACAGTTTGCTGCGGGCCCCCCCAGGACCGCCGGGTTTGTAATGGGCCCGGCGGTCCTGGCATGTATTATCAGCAATATTGATATCTTTATTGGCCGATACCGATATTGCCGAAAATACCGAATATCGGCCGATAATATCGGTAAAACCGATAATCGGTCGATCCTTAGTTTAAAGACACATTACTGTGAGTATTATTACTGTAAGTATTATCACACTCAGACACACCAACAATATGGAGCTCATAGAAAAGAGGGACAGAAGGAGTTGGGCCCTAAGTATCTTCCCTCCTTAATAGGGGAACTTGGGAGGTATGTCATTGTTAATTTTGATCCAAAATGGCTGAATTGGAAATATTATTCAGCTCAGCTATTTTGCTGAGCAACCTCTAAAGTAGGTAAACAGAACCTATGGTTTTGCCAATTTTGATTATATTGTTGTCAAACTGAATATATTTATGAATTATTTTTGTTAAACCAGACATTGTGGGTAGAATTGTAGTGTCTCCCCTGTATGTTCCCATTTTCTAATATAATATAAGAAGTGAGTGGACATGGCTTTATGTTAGTGTGGGCCAGCATCACTTCTAAATCTCTCATTGTAGCTTTAATTTAGGTGGTGGGCATGTGCAGGGCCGGTGCAAGAATTTTTGCCGCCCTAGGCAAAAGAAGGATTTGTCACCAAGAACTTCAATGAAATGGTGAAGAATTTCAGTGTTATATTTATATAGTAGACATTCACTATTCTTTCCTTTTTTTTCCATAGTCGACCGTTTCAGACCCGCTTCCACCTATCCTCCAACAACCAGCAGAGGACACAACGTTTGATGAACTCACAAAATATACTTATGAGACAAGCACTGGAAACACTTATACCAGGAAGTACCCAGGGGGTATCCTCGCTCACCCTACTTACCTCAAAGCCCCCGCTCTTTGGAAAGTCCATCACAACAAGGATTTTAAGGACAAGGTATAACGTATATCTAATATCTGCCTACCTCAAATCTTCATAGATTGGAAGTCTGTTTGAGCAGGGCCTTCTCTACCTCTAAGTATCTTGGGGCTATAAAAAAAATTATAAACTTAATAATCAAAAAATCTGGCAATAAAATGGTGTTGGTTTTGGGGGAATAAGAAAAGGTTATCCACATTTCACTCATTAGCTTATGAAGGAATTTATCAAATTAAATGCTCCTCTGTCCCTACAAAATACTTTGATTAATGTCTGACGAGAAGATTCACACTAACAATTAGCTGTTTTTCGGAACTGGTGATAACATTAGTAACATGGAAACTCCAATGTTGCAGGATTTAAATATATATGGTCAGTTATTTAAAAAAAAAAGAAAGAAATTTTCTAAATATAGTGCAGAATGTGAAAATTGTAGCTCCAGAGAATGTAACCTCAAGCAATTTTAGACCCTTTAGATCAAGACCAAATCATTGAGACACAATAGTCCAGGATTTAGACATCTCCGAACTTTGTGAATATGTGGCTAGTGACAAGATGTGGAACATTGACGCGCTTTGAGGACTGATATGGGAAACACTGCTCTAAAATGACTGAATGGTGCTAGTGGCTTTCTATAAAGTCCATAGAGGAAGCACGTAAAGGATACAGTCTTGATGGGCTTTAAATAACAAAAAAATAAGCAGCTTTTCAAGGCAAAGCAGAATACACTGATTACACTCTTGCCACATTCACAGAAACATCTCATCAACGTATGTAGGAAATGAGCAAAGACAGTGTTTCTATTGCAACTTTAGAAAAAAATGATAACAAATAATATCCAGTAATCCTTTTTTCTATTCGGTGCTATAGCTGGAGTTATATCTTTACAGGGAGATATATGTTTACTTAGTTGTATTTGTAATTATTTGACAGGAGGTAACCTAGAGAACACCCGGGGCTTATAGTCTTCATAGAAGAAATCAATTGTAGAACTTAATGTTTAATAAATGTGTAAAACGTATCCTGTGATTCTAGCTGAAAAGTCGGAGACCTGGTTTGGATCATCGGAACCAGAGCAGTGAGATGAAAGCAGAGTACCAGGGCCTTCCAGCCAAGCCTTTTAATTCAGGCGTGCAGCCATTTGCTTTAGAAGGTCACCTGAACAAGGGGCCATCACAGGTTAGTTTACAGACATTTTTCATGTCATGCATAATGGAATATATTTTAATGCCTATTTTCATATCACAGTCCATGGTCACTTTCTACAGAGGCGCTCTGCACTGGGTGTGTTAGGAAACTAGAACCCAGGATCGGGAGTTACAGAGGTGGGGATAATGACATATGTATAGTTGGTTGGGATACAGGCATGGCTGTCAGGGAGAGAGACATGACTGGGGAGGATGGGGCGATTGATGGGGCGAAGGCTGGGAAAGATGGGGCAAAGGCTGGGAAAGATGGGGTAGCGGCTGTAACAGAGACAGAGATATATGACTGAGGGGATCAAAGGCATTGCATGAAAGGATAACCACATGGAAATAATAGGGAGAGAGAAGGACATGGCTGAGGGTACAATGTTAGCCATTGCTCATACGCTACATTTTATCAACAGGGTTATTCACGAAAGTGAGAATTCACTGTGAATTTCAAACTTAAAGGACCACTATAGTGCCAGGAAAACATACTCGTTTTCCTGGCACTATAGTGCCCTGAGGGTGCCCCCACCCTCAGGGTCCCCCTCCCGCCAGGCTCTGGGGAGAGAAAGGGGTTAAAATCTTACCTTTCTCCAGCGCCGGGCGGGGAGCTCTCCTCCTCCTCCTCTCCTCCTCCACTCCTCCTTCATAGCGATGTCATCGGCTGAATGCACATGCGCGGCAGGAGCCGCGCACATTCAGCCAGTTCATAGGAAAGCATTTACAATGCTTTCCTATGGACGCTGGCGTCTTCTCACTGTGAGAGAAGCTGGCGTCTTCTCTCACAGTGAGAAGCATGCAAGCGCCTCTAGCGGCTGTCAATGAGACAGCCACTAGAGGCTTTAGAGGCTGGATTAACCCTATTATAAACATAGCAGTTTCTCTGAACCTGGGCATGTGCTTTTAATATATGTCCTTATGTTCTCTGAAACTGCTATGTTTATAAAAAAAAAGGGTTATCCCTAGCTGGACCAGGCACCCAGACCACTTCATTAAGCTGAAGCGGTCTGGGTGCCTATAGTGGTCCTTTAAGGTTAAAACAGTGAAGTGGAACAGTTCTTCAAATCAGATTTGATTCCAGTTGCTGTTTTGTAGATAAGGCAACGTTTACATTGCAGGGTTAAATACGCATATGGTCAGGCCTGGACTATCCATCGGGCACACCAGGCCGCAGTGGCCATGGGCCGAGGCCAGCAGGGGAGATCACAGGATCTCCCCTACTGGTCTATGCAGGGCCGGCACTATCCGAGCGCTAGCCCTGTTGCATTCCATGACAGGCCGGTGGGGAGATCAAAGATTTCCCTCACTGGCCCACATGTAATGTATTGCGGCTGCCAGCGGGGGAGAGAGACCGGAGAGGAATCCGGAGGAGCTCTATCTTGCAGCTCCGCCAGGTTCCTCTTGCTGGGATTTGAAGGGTTGCCATGGCAACGCTCTGGGCCTTGTGAGAGTGAACTCCACAGGCTAGAGTTCACTCACCACTAGCACCACCTGGGATGGCAGCAGCACAATCCCCTCTCCCAGACTAAAGGTAAGAAGGGAGGGGGGATATAATCAATGCTTTTTTTTATTAATATATAGATAATAATCTGCCCCCCAACACACAAGCCCTCCAAACATATTCACACACCAGCACCCTCACTCATACACACACTGCACCCCTGACACTCACAGCACCCTCGCTCAAACACAGCACCCTTACCCACACACACTACACCCCTCACACACACACACACTGCACCCCTGAAACTCACAGCACCCTTATTCACACATTGCACCCCTGACACTCACACACTGCACCCCTGACACTCACAGCACACTCACACACTGCACCCTCTCACACAGCTTCCTCACACGCACATAGCACCCTCACACACACACTGCACCCATCACTCACACACAGCACCTCTCACACACACAGCACCCTCACACACACTACACCCCTTTTGCACACACACATCACCCTCACACACACACTGCACAATACTCTTTCCTGGCATTTTTGTCTCCTGGTATCCCCTCTATGAAGACACCAGAGACGAATTTCAAGCAAACACAGTGCAAGCATGTTATTAAATTTGCTTGTGCTGTGCATAACAAATACAGGGCTTTTTCCTCATGCTAGAGCTCTTCAGCAGAGCTCTGCGCATGGTCTGCCCTGGAAGAGCATTGAACCAACATGCTCACTTTGTGATGGGGCGTGCTTGTCATTGGTGATGACGAAACACACCCTCTCTCCTCGCCCCCTTTTTAGTGGGTCGCTGTAATAAAAAAAATGCCCTGCCTATGGTGGTTTTTTTTCCTTCTGCTGCGAGAGCGGAATGTTCTCACGGCTAACCTCCATCTAATGGTGGGGGTGCAGTGCTGGTCGTGCATACACTTTTTGTCACTTAATGGGCAAAATAGAAAAATTGGCGTGACATTGCAGAGGTGGATTGTGCGGCTGCAGGTACTGGATCTTGGTGCTGGGAAAAAAGGTAGTTAAAACACTTTTATTTTTAGTGTTCCTTTAAGATCAATATTGCTTTTTATCTTTGAAACTAAACACCTCTATCTTCTTTATGTGCAGGCTATGGTTGCAACCACGGAGAACAAAGCACTGTCTGGAGAACCATTCTACATAAAAGACAAAGGAGTCCTTACCCTCAATGACCTGTACAACACCACTACAGCCCGTGACTTTAGGGTGTTCACTGAGTAAGTAGACATTCTAAAACAGAACTTCATTAGCCTAGAACCGATAAATAATACTTCCTTCTTGTCCTGGAACTACAGTACCTTTCTTGTCTCCAAAATGATAATATAATAATGCCAAAAATAGTTGGTTTGAGTGCCACCTTTATTGGAGCTATGCCAATAGCAGGGTGCAAACACTGTATTTCGTAATTCAGTAGTAAACAGCTTATTTCTGACTTCTCTCCCTGTGCCTTGGCACTCAGATATGAGCCTCAAAGGGGTTTATTCACTAAACAACAAATTGTAGTGGATCAAATAAATAGTAAAAAATAGGCTAAAATAGCCAATCTGTGTTTTGTTTTTTTCCAAATCAGCTATTTGTGCCTACTTTTTTCAGTTCAGTTTTTAATCCACTATTGCAGATCAATAAATGGAATATGGTGAAACACAAAAAGACAAGTGATATAGATAAAAGATGAATTTATCTATTTATAAGAATGACTCTAGTAAATCTATACTCCAAACAAGTGGGAGGATATATCTGTATGGGAGAGTAAATCGATAGACAAAAAATGTTTGTAAGATGCTCCCGGTAACTGGATACTTTGTTCTAATGCAGTATAACGGGGTCAATAGGTACTGACTAGTTCCTCCTGGGGAGCAGGGGTGCTACAAGTAACTAAATACAATGGATACAAAGTATGTCTAGTGGATACAAAGTGATGTCCACAAGTACGATAGTGGGCAATTGCATGTAAAACTCTGCCACTCTATATAGTGAGATGCCCAACAACAGTTTGGCACAGCACCAGTCATTCATAGGACAAAAAAAAGTTCAAATAGATTTTTGGCAGAAGAGAAAAACTCATAACAATAAAAGAGGTCTATAGGCTGTTCAAACCTTCAAGTTAAAATTTTTTAGTATTTTAGTAATGTTAATCGCTTAGCTTGATAAATTGTGTCTTTAGGGCCATGGCATTCCAGAATGGATCCATTATATTTACCAAAAATCGGACTGGAATTTAAACATCTTTGTTTTACCATCTCTTAAATTTTTATTTTATTTTTTATTAATGTATACTGGACTTTTTACTGAAATCACTTACCTAGCTCTCCCACGTCCCCGTTCTGACAGCCATCTTTATGTACCTTTGGTCAGACTGTCAGTTATCCCAGGCTAAGCTGACTATTTTGCAACCCCAGTTATTTCTCAAAATCTGGTTCTTTTCAGCTTGCAGCATGTTCTGTGTCAGGAAATGTTAAAAAGCAATGGGTGGTTGCAATATAGTGCTCACTTAAGTCATAACTGACAGAGGTAGTGTATTATAACATAATGATTACATTAAGATATTAAAAGGAATCTGTCAGGACCTTACCTGTCCTTCTGCTCCCTCACTGTGGTCTCCTTATAAAGAGCAAACCGCCTCCATGATGCCAACAAGCACATGTGCTGTGGTTGCTATGGGTGGAGAGCAAAAGAGCCACTGATGGGAGATCCCTTCGGCTCTCACTGTCAATCAATTCTTTTTCAAAGAGTCTATGCCAAAGGAATGATTGACAGGTGGGAAAACCACCTTTTTATCACATTTTAACTAGGTTTCTCTCACAATCTATACATTTGCTAGCAAAACTATATAAAAAAAATACAGATAATGGATGCAAATTCAGAAAAACAAATTAAATTAAAAATAAGAGACATTTAACTTGGGAGACCCGGAGTTTGTTGCAGATCCTCTTGGATTTTCAGCCTCTATAGTGAGCACTTACATCTAAAACCTTTCAGTCACTCCTGTTTATTGGATATGTAAAGTAGGGGAGCTGGCTTATAGTTTCAGCATTTTTTGTAAATTAGTACATATAAAGGCAAAATGGAGTTGGGAGGCATAATCTTTGGGAAGAGCATGGGCTATCCTGGTGCCTGGATTATCCCATTACTGAGATTGTTCAAATAATTTTGTATGTTGTTCTACAAATATGTGTTTCAGGTGTTTATTTGCTAAAACTTTTCATTTTGTCTCCAGCAAAGAACTGGAAGGATATGCCAAAAAAGATGCCCTGACATATTGGCAAGCTGAAGATTACCCCAAGGTCTGGGGACATGGTCTTAAAGAAAACCCTCTTCCAAAACAAACTCGACCAATTCTCCGACAAAAACCACCAATGCAGGACACAATCCAGTTTCCCACCGCGCTTAAACAGCAACAGGTACCTCCAAACAAAAAGGAACTCCCTCACAGAGCCTTCAAGTCCCTGGCTCAAGAAAGCTTCCAGTGGCCTCTGGATGTGAAGAGAACCATCGATGTCCACTGCCCAATAGAATGTCCTTGGACCACTACCCGTGAAGGACCTTTACCAGCCATAATGTCTGTGCCCAAAATGTATAAAACACTGAATGAAACATATGGCAGCAGGCGACCTGATACATTTTGAGAGAACAGACAAGTAAAAGTAAATAATTTAGCATTAATCAATGCAAACAAGCAAAAAAAAATCAATAAAAGAATAATATTTTGTCAGGTGTTTTTAAATCAGTTCCAAAAAATAGAGTCTCATTGGTCAGGTTCTCCTTAGAATTATTCATCAGGTGGGTTTTCACTAAGCTGGACATGTGGAGAATTGCAAGATTTAAGTCAAACTACCAGAGTTGAGGAATTGTGTTAACTGTATTTAGGCTGAAATAGAGTTAACACAATTCCTCAACTCAAAACTTTAATTCTCGTTTACTAGCAATGACCAATGCATAATGCATTAAGATTTTAAAAAACATTTTTTTAATGACAGTAAGATTCCTTTGCATGACTTTGACTATTCCTAACAAACCGTGAATATACGTGAATCTCCACTCCCTCATACGTCTGAGCTCCTCTTACAGACCTCGTCAAACAATGAAGATAGCAAAGGACACTAATTATCCCATCTTTCCCATCCTTATAAGAAAATCCCACAAGGAGATATATTGTTACTGTAAGCTATTACCGACCCGGACCTCACCATCGGATCTCCTAGTAGCACACACTGAATGTGTATTTAAATGTATAATTACACAAATAAATGTTCTAATAAACAAAAATAAATAAACAACATCTTTTATTTAAGTTTATCAAACATTTGAAACCCGTGTTCAGGAATAAAATATTAGAAAAAATACTCCAACGTGAACATAATCGGGGAGTAAATTACACCAATGGATCCCCATATATTGAATGCATTATATGAATATAATTATTATTATCCCATAATTTCCTGTCCAGCAGAAGTTTATGGCAGCAAATATACTGCTCACTAAACAGACAACAGTGGCCAAAGTGCAGCTATTAACACATAGCCTGGTTCTCTGTTTTGTGAACACGTGGGGTCCACAACTCAGCTCTCTCTCTCGGGAGGGGAGATAACAGTCCAAATTGTGTGACACGAGCTTATGTATGGGCAAAATTTCTATAGTCGCGCATTGCCAGCCAAAAACACATACTTATAGGATTTTATATGAAGTGAGAATTACTGGTAAATTCAAAGTGAATTTCAAATTCAAAGGCATACTATAGGGTCAGGAACACAAATATGCATTCCTGACCCTATAGTTTTAAAAACACCATCTAGTCCCCTTAAATATAGTAAATCTTACCTTTATTCCAGAGTGCTGATGCTGGCTCTGCCCCTGATCTGCCTTCTTGGATGACATATTCAGAAGCGATTATCTCAGCCAATCACAATGCTTTCCCATAGTAAAGAATTGGATTGGCAGAGATTGGTAATTCTGATTATCTCAGCCAAGGAGGTGGGCTGGGGGCAGGGCCAAATGTCACCCTGGCCAATCAGCATCTCCTCATAGAGATGCATTGAATCAAACACCTCACCTAGGCAAAAAATGATGGGGGTTTAGTTACATTATATGATCATATATTGCATAAGACTGCCACAACGTCAATGTACCCCATTCTTGGCAGGTCCTACTCTAGCAGCCTAATGCTTGCTCTTGTGAGATTTATCAATTTACTTGGGAAATACTTGCTTACTGGGACTCTCTGCAAGTCAAGGCTAAATAGGGTCCTTGAATGAGGCACCTGTGACAGGGAGGGATGCAAAACCAAGGAGTTGGCCTGGACTCCCAAATATATAAATGAAACCAAGAGGGCTGCACTCACATGAACAAGCATACATTATAGGGTGCTGCTGGGGACAAATTACACAAAATACAAAATCCAGTGCACTCACTTATTCACCAAACAATGATTTCAAATCTGAGAGATTGTAATAGTTTTATTCAAAAACACCTCACCTAGGCAAAAAATAATGGGCGTTTAGTTACATCATATGATCATATATTGCATATTTTAAAAAAGGAATTTTAAAAATATTTTAGCCCCTAGTAACTACAAGAATTATTCTAAAATAGAATCTCTTGATATGGGTTTCTATACTTGTGCATCCTGTGAAGGTTGTCAGCTCCGTCCTGATTGGCTGTGAGGCAATTTGGGAGGAGCAAACCAGGGTTTTTAAACCCAGGACTTGGTAGAATTGTCAGACACACGCTGAATACCCCTGAGGAAGTCTACAGACGAAACACATAGGGTGAAAAAACACTGTCTTTCCTGTGTTTTACTGATTGCCTTCACAACAGATTTCTGTGTCCTGGAGGTTGTATACAGAATTTCTCCCTGAGAGTAAAGAAACTGTGATGGGCTTTTACTTTTTAATTATCTTGCGAGTGCATACAATAAAGTGTTATTTTTGGTGTTATACAGTGTTGCACTATGTGTTTTGTTTCTTCTCTTCTAACAAGCACAAACGTTGGGAAGTAGAGAAGAAAGAAGTTCTACTGATATTTCTATATTCTCAAAAAATAAATATACTTCCGCTACTGGATAAAAAATCCAGACGCATAAAGTATAAACTGGATTTAATTTTAGAATGAAAAACTCATAATAAAATAATAAAGAGATAATTGTAGTACAGCATCTATACCCCTTCCTAGTTGTCAGAATCCTATGGATAACAATCTTGCCTAATGGCACACCTCCAAATGCCCTTAAAAATATATAAATATATATCTCTATAATGTTACAGACTGCAGACTTTAACCCCTTAAGACTGGAGGGCGTACTATTACGCCCTATTTTAGGCGGCCCTAAACGCCGCCGGGCGTAATAGTACGCCCTCCGTTTTTGTTTTTTTTACTTACCCGGTCGCTGGCGATCCCACGCCGGTGATCGCAGTTGGGGGGACTCCCAGGGAGCCCCCCGCTGCACGTCCGACCTCCTGCAGCCCCCCCCGGCCATGTGAGAGTAAAGTCCTTGCGAGGACCTCACAATCACATGGCCGGGTTAGCTGCCTGCTGTATTGCCAGCAGGGGGACTGCCTGTAATGACAGGTAGTCCTCCTGCTGGCTGGAAATAAAATACATTAACGTTAATAAAGTGTAAAAAAATATACTTAGATCATATATATATATATGTTATATATATATATATATATATATATATATATATATATAAAAAATAGTGTGGAACCAAAGGTCCCTAAGTGGAAGAGTTATAAATAAAAGGGAAGTCCCTACCTTTAATAATCCTAAGGGTGTAGGCAATTAAAATAGACAGGGAGGAAAGATAGGGCAAGGGAATAGATGTGTGAAAACACATACAGGTCCAAACAACTACTTGCAGAGAAATAGCCCAATTCTAATAAAGTTGGGTCAAAAAAGCTCCAAACTGTAAGGTTGTAAACAGATAGGTAATTAGAGGAATAACAGAGGAAGGAAAAAGGGGAAAGGGGAATGGGGAGGAACACTTCCTAACTGAATACCTCGGCACAGTGAGAATCACAAGTGCCTACCTATTACCCTTCTGCCTACCTGACTAAAGTAGCTAAAAATCGAATTAATTAAACTAATCCATAAGTGCTACCCAAGTGAACAAACTGTAACTGGACACACAACAGGTGAACTGTTTCAAGTTGATTGCTACAATCCCCATATAAACGAGCACAAAGTTATGCAGAGGCTTACTACTCCTGACGACGGCGTGTTAGAACGCTGAAACGCGCGTCGAGTTTTTATTTATTTATTTATTTTCCTTACAGTTTGTTCACTTGGGTAGCACTTATGGATTAGTTTAATTAATTCGATTTTTAGCTACTTTAGTCAGGTAGGCAGAAGGGTAATAGGTAGGCACTTGTGATTCTCACTGTGCCGAGGTATTCAGTTAGGAAGTGTTCCTCCCCATTCCCCTTTCCCCTTTTTTCCTTCCTCTGTTATTCCTCTAATTACCTATCTGTTTACAACCTTACAGTTTGGAGCTTTTTTGACCCAACTTTATTAGAATTGGACTATTTCTCTGCAAGTAGTTGTTTGGACCTGTATGTGTTTTCACACATCTATTCCCTTGCCCTATCTTTCCTCCCTGTCTATTTTAATTGCCTACACCCTTAGGATTATTAAAGGTAGGGACTTCCCTTTTATTTATAACTCTTCCACTTAGGGACCTTTGGTTCCACACTATTTTTTCTATTTTACAATTTGTGGGTTATTCCCCAGTAGGGAAGAGTTATCAGGGCTTTTTCCACAATTATCTACTTATATATATATATATATATATGATCTAAGTATATATATACACACATACACTGTCTAGGTGTATTTTACTATTAATATATATATATATATATAAATATTAATATCAAATTAAACGTAGACTGATACTGATTAAATATATATATATATATATATATAATTATTGTTATATATATATAATATAAAAAAAATATGTAAATACGTTAAAAATAAAATTAAAAAAATAATTTAAAATAATTAAAAAATATATAGATGTGTGTTATTTCGTTCTAACTGTATTGTGATATTAATATATATATTTATATCAAATTACACGTAGAATGAAATAATATCTATATACATAAATATATACGTATATATCACTTTATATATATATACCTATATATAAATAAAAATATTTAAATTATATATATATATATATATATATATATATATATATATACATATACACACACACACACACACACACACACACATATATTAATTCTACATATATATTTATGTAATATTTTTACATAATTAGGTATCTTAATTAATTACAATTAGCGGGACCTGCCTGACAACCCATGCCAAAAGTAAAGGGAATTTAATTTGCTAGCACTATATTTAACCCTATAACTTTTCAAGACATTATAAAACCTGTACAGATGGGGTACCTTTGAGATTTTGAACACAATATTAGTGTTTAAACAGTAAAATGTATTACAAATGATATATAGTAAAAGTGACGTTTGTTTGCATTTTTCACGCACAAACAGCACTTACACGACTATTATTGCTGCAATACTTTTTACTGTTTTGAAACACAAATATTTGTGTTCAGCAAAGTCTCCCGAGTGCAACAGTACCCCTCATGTACAGGTTT